CTGACAAAATCTAGATCAAAAAGTTCCTATGTTTATTTTAAATGTGGCTCGACTTGTGAGGTTTATTCCCAGATAGATCAAAGACTCCCTACAATGCAGATCATGTCTTGGTGTCTAGTCACCCCATGTTATTATTCAGAAGCCTAAGCCAATGCCCTTCACTTACCTGCAGATATAACCTTTTGTGGTTCTGATTTTATATTGCCAATAATTTTGTTGTTATAATAATCTTACAAGTACTGTACTGTTTTTTACATTTCATAGCCTAGAAAACTTATTTTAAGCTTCCAGTGTTTAACTTTTAATTTTTTAAACATTATCACTGCCCTTCCACATAATCGTTTGAGGCTTTGTCTATATAGTACAGACCTCATGTTTCATAAAAAATATCCTGCAATATAAAAAATAAATCTGAGCCGGGCTCAGTGGCTCAGCCTGTAATCCCGCGTTTTGGGAGGTTGAGGTGAGTGGATTGCCTGAACCCGTGGGTTCGAGACCCACCTGGGCAACTTGGCGGGAACTTATCTCTACAATAAATCAAAAAATCAGCTGGTCATGGTAGCACGTGCCTGTAATTTCGTCTATTGGGAAGGCTGAGGCGGAAGGATCGCCCAAGCCCAGCAGGTTGAGGCTGCGGTGGCCGGGAGCGGCCACTGCACTCCAGTCTGGGCGACAGAGTGAGACTCCAACTCAAAAAATAAAAATAAAAATAAATCTGTTGCAAACGTCTAGTTGATTTGTGTTTGATATAGCCTACAGTTTTCAGGCATGTCACTTTTATGGCAATTCATAAATTCATGCCACCTTTAATGTCAATTAGCGTTTATTCAATGATGGTGTTAAATGTATTTCTCCAATATGGAGGTTGACTTCCTTGTAACAAGATTCACAAGTCAAATTCCATTTGTAGGTGTGTCTGTGTGCATGTTTGGTTGTGTATGTGTGTGTGTCTTCCTGTGTATGTCTTTGGGCTTGCTTGAAAGCTTTTATATCAAGTAGATTAGTGAGCAATTTATATGTACTAATTGCATGTGGCATCTTGAGATGCAGCCAAGTGAAATCACCAAGTCACAATGTTTCTGAGGGTTTTTTTTTTTTGCCTATTAGCATTATAGATAAATATATAGCTATATGTATAAGTCTTTACATGCTACATAACTTGGCACAAAGATTCATAAACCAAGAAGAGTTATCATCAAAGTAGCAAGATCTGAAACAATATCTGTCTTTTATCAGTCAAGAATTGATATATTGATACCATTTTCAAATTCTGAAAGCAGTGTAACAGGCCATTTTTATTTGTGAAATTGTTGGTAGAGTGAATTTGAATAATATTTCACTGGATCTCACCCAGTAGATTTCGAGCTGACAGCAAACAGACATTGTGGCACATTTATATTTGTATTCTCAGTGTAAGCTATACATATATAGTGATGTCCAAAAGACATATGAAAAAGGAAAACAGAAATGAATTCATATTAGTGTCACTGATCACGTGTTTGGTTCCGTGACAAATTCATTTTGGAATCAGGACTTTAAAGTAGGCCATTTTACAGAGGTATGCAAAATATGTTTGAAGAAACATTTTTTTTCCAGTTTGTGTTTTTTCCAAATGTCAAATCTGTTTTTATTTAAATATTTTAACAATTCTTTCTTCCCTAATTTTTCATTTTTGTATTTTTTCAACATTACTTTTCAATTTCTGGGTCCACATTAGTTATAGGACATTAACAGACAGATCAGTAAATCTAAACAATATGTTTTGATCAACTATTATATGTGGGACAGTGTGGAGTCTAAAATAAACATACATGTCAAGTCACTTTGCTCTCCACAATCTCACTCATCTAATTTGGTGTCAGACTGTAGCCAACTAAAAATTTAATAACAGTTTGTCGGCAACAGTAAAGAGGTAACAAGATACTACATGATTATTTTCCAGATTAATAAGAACTCCAGGTATCCAGAGTCGGTTCAAACCACCCCTTTTGGGGTTGTGATGAATGTATCTTATTTAATTTAGTCTAAACATTGAATTATGAGTAGAATTAGAAGGGACAGGGAAGAATAGTAGAATATCCTATGTGGGGTAAATAGTTTAAAGAAAATACGGGATACATTAAACTGGTTTACTTGGATCACAGAGGTCATGCATAATATCAAGTAGCTTGGCAAAGTAGGAGAAGAAAGTTTCCAGAAGTCCAAATGTAAAAGTAGAGTTTAATGTTGCCTGTGAATCTCACCACTCTTATCAGTATTTTTAGCATACTTGACACGTAACTATGAAGAGACTGATTACAGAAGGCAGGTACAAAAAATCATTATCAATATTTGAAACTCACCACAGTAAGAATTTTGAATGATGGCTTCGAAGTTGAATCACAGATTGTGTATCAAGGCCTAAAATCCTGGCTATGCTATGGTAAGTTGAATCACAGATTGTGTATCAAGGCCTAAAATCCTGGCTATGCTATCGTAAGGTAGGGCTTCTTAAAGACCAGATTATACCGGCAAGGAGACCAATGAGTTAATAAAAATAAAATAAAATTTCTACCCAAGGGCAAGTAACTAACTTTGCGGCCTTGGGTAGCTCTGTGTGTAGGACATATTAGTGTCTAGGACTAGCATTTAATGCATGAGAGTTCTTTCTTTCGGTTCTTTCCTCTCATTTCTAAACTGTTTTTGGACACAAGTTTGCGTTTTGTATCCACTATTCTAGTATTCATGTGCAGTATCCTCCAACACATATTCTTTCTGATGCAACCTTTTTTTGACAATGATGCTAGACTGCATCTACCATAATAAAAACTACTTAAGTGCAGGACTTGGCTGCTTCTGCATGCCTAACAGCATCGAAGATTGAGCTAGAATTGCATAGTATTATGTGAATAAACACATGAATGAACACGTGAATGAATGAATGAATAAACAAAGTCTCACTAGCTTTAAAAAAAAAATCTCTTTTCAATTCCTGGGCCCGTATTAGTCACAGTACATTAAGAGACAGATCAATAAATCGAACAATATTTTATAATCAATTATATATGTGGGTAATATGTGAAGTACATTTTTTTCTGTTTATTGGGAATTAAGAGAAGAGATAGAGTAAAATATTTTAGAGTTTTTTTTGCCAAAAATGTTGCTAGAGAGAAATAATAAATTCAGTGCAATTTTTAAAATATTTATTGTTCTGTTTTAAACAGAATGTCTGTGAACAAATAGTCACTTTTATTCAACATTTTTCTTTAAAAGTCAGCCAAGAGGAAAGGCACTTTAATTTGTATCTTATAGATTTCATGCAATTACAACAGTATCTCATACTTTATAAAAGAAATTTTTGTTACAGTTTTTACAACATATATATATATATGTAGAGGGAGAGAGAGAGAGAGAGAGGAAGAATGTAAGTGAACTAAGAAAAATTTTACACTAAAATCTAAATTCACAAGTTATTTTTCCAAAGACACTCAGATTCTATTAAGAAAAAGAAAAATTTGAGCAGCTATTTAGTGATAGAACCTGTTATATCACTTCTATCTATGTGACTGCTGCTCCTTTACTTTAAAAGAACAAAACACTTCTTATCTACAGGGTGCCTGAATGAAACGTCATTGTACACCTAACCCTTAACTGTACCCCACAAAACCATAATAAAAAATACTGATTAATGAAAAAAAAAAAAAGATATAAGATACAATTCAGGGTTAGATATAAAAATGATCACTACAGGTAATGTTTAAGTCTCACTTTGGTCCCCATATCAGCTGGATGAGATCAGGTACCCTTATTCATGAAGTGTGCCCTCCCACTTCAGTTTCTCACCACTGGCAGTTTCTCCCCTGGCAGTTTCTCACCACTGCCAATCTCTCTGTAGTTCATAATTGTTTAGGGTTCACTTATGAGTGAGGACATGTGGTACTCAGTAATTTGGTTCTGTGATAGATCACTGGGTACTGAAAATTCTAAAACCAACCAAATTAGTGCAAAGTTCATAATTTTGCCCTTCTTTATGGTTGTGTAATATTCCATCATGTATATGTATCACATCTTTTAGATCTATTCTACTTTCAGTGAGTGGCATGGTTGGTTCTATGTTTTCACTATTGTGAAAATGCTGCAATAAACAAGCATGTGCAGATATCTTTTTTGTAGAATGATTTGCATTCCTCCAGATATATTCCCAGAAGGGGGATAGCTGAGTCATATGGAAAGTTGATTTTTGGTTCTTTCAGGAATTGCCACACTGTTTTCCACAGAGGTTGTACTAATTTACACTCTCACTAACAGTGTAGAAGAGTTCCCATTTCCCTGTATCATCTCTAGCATCTGTTGTCTTTTGAGTTATTGATGACGGCCATTCTGACTG